TTCTAGACCATCTCTGTTCAATAGACATATAATTCACATATGTAACTACATTTTCTAGTAGCCACATTAAAAAAATACAGGTGATATTTGTTTTCATAATATACCGTGTTTCCCCGAAAATAAGACCTAACTGGAAAATAAGCCCTAGCATGATTTTTCAGGATGCTCATAATATAATATAAGCCTGACCGCAATGTCTTGTTAGGGAGACCACATCATAGATGGGGTAGAGGCTTGATCACTGCACTGTACACCTGAAGCTGGTGTTGTATAATATTGTATGTCAACTATAAGTGAATATCTATCTATCTATCTGGTCATGGGACGTGGAGTATAGTGTGGGAGTGGAGTGAAGGGAATTGCAACAGATATAAATGATATTGGTGGGGGAAGTGGGGCAGTGGATTGGGGGAGGGGGGTTGTCACTTCCAGGGGAAAAAATTATAACTATTGCACTGTGTTGTATCGCTGAAACTAATTTTTAAAAATGTGTATTTCACAATAAAAAAAATAATATTAATTTTTCCAGTCCAAAAAATAAATAAATAAAATAAGCCGGACCCCAAACATAAGCCCCAGTTAAGATCATCAGCCAGACATGACTGTTTGAATAAATGTAGATTTTTGTACATGAATAAATGAGTAAATATGGATTGTTGGAGCAAAAATTAATATAAGACCCTGTCTTATTTTGGGGGAAACACTGCATTTTATTTGTCTCAGTATATCTAAAATATCATTTTATCATGTAATCAATATGAAATTATTGAGCTATTTTATATTCTTTTTTAAAGTAAGTATTCAAAATCTGGTCTATATTTTTGACTTACAGCATATCTCAATTCAAATGAGCCACATTGCAAGTGCTCAATAGCTACATGTGTCTTAGTGGTGATCATATTGGACCAGTGTAGTTGTAGACTTTAATGATGATGGTGAAATTGATCATATAAGAGGAATTTCAGACTGACATTTCAGATGATAATATTCTAGATAGATTTTCTCAAACTCAAGAATTTTTTACAGAACATGTTTTTAAGGAGAAAAAAGGAAATATATGTGATGTTTTCATCTAGTAAGTCACTCAACAGGAAGGACTTTGTTCCACAATATAAATAAGAATCTGAATCATCCCATTTTGCTGAAAGTACACGTGACAGCATTCCTTCAACTTTAAACTATAAAAAGGGTCCATTGGACTAAGGTGGTAAATGATGATGACTACTTCTCCTGATATACTGAGAGTTAATCAGAAGGTTGGCAAGAAAATTGAAAAGGAAGTAACTTTTCCATTGTGATTCATTGTTGTTTGATGTTGCTTAAGTATGTCACTGAATACTACCTCCCATACTGCCTAAAATTATCTCAAGTATGTACCAGTTTGGGGAAACATTCTTATTAGTTACCATTGAAAGAATAAACGATTGGACTTGAAGTTATCGTGGCAGACAGACACATATTAAATCTTGTCTGTTCCCCTAAACTCTGCTAAACTATAGTAAAGGGTTTTTAAAAAGACAGAAATCAGGGCTGGCCGAGTGGCGTGTTGGTTAAGGGTTGGCTTGGGTTGCCAGCTCTGAGCAGCAGGGCCCCGGTTCGGATCCCACATGAGGGCCAGTGANCTACGCAGTCACTGGCGACTCATGGCAGCCCAGCTCCAGGTTGAGCTGTTGTTCAGCATCTTAGCTGTAGAGGGCAGTGTCACTGGCCCTCAATGTGGGATCCGAACCGGGGCTCTCTGGCGTCCCAAGCCAGCTCTTAACCAACGTGCCACTCGGCGGGCCCCATAGATTGTTTTTAACTGTCAACTTATGTTGATACAACTTATTTAACATATTTAATATATAACTTAAGTTAAATATGAAAACTCAGTTGTTAAAGAACTTTTGTATATATCTTATAGATACTGCCTTCTCAAGGCTTGAATGATACTTCTTCAGAGAGGCCTTTCCTGACACCTAACGAAAAGTATCCTCACAAGCTTCAAAAAATTTTTTTCTACTACAAAGTAAAGCAGACGGTCATCTTACTTGTGACTACTGCAGTTGAGCACCTTTCCAGTGCCTCTTCTAGTCTCGTGCCCATTTTCTGTTGTATTTCCCCCTCTTTTATTTAGAAGTTGTTTACATATTCAGAATATTAATCCTTTCACAAATAAATGTATTGCAAATAGATTTGCCTAATTTTGATTCACTTGTAACTTTTTTCTTCTTTCCCCTTAAGGTCTGTCTCACCTAGTAGCAGCATCATTTACAGAAGATAGATTTGGGGTTGTACAGACTACACTACCAGCTATTCTTAATACTTTGTTGACACTGCAAGAGGTAGGCAATACTTGGGTTGGGTGGCGGTAGAGGGCCTGTTCCTTCCCCCCACCCCCTGCCTGTTTTTCAGGGTATTTTTTTTTTAATATATCATATTTACTGAGTAGCAAAATGTATGTTAGAAGTAAAAATAATGGTGTTATTCTCACCCTTAGGATATTACGATCTAAGAGACAAGGAAGAGAAACTTTTAATTTATTGATAAGTAATAATTTTGTAGTAACAGAAAAAGAAAGTATACTAAACCTGTAGGCTATACCGCTGGTATTAATCAGATTATTTAGATTACAGTTCTGTTCAGTGATACATGTTTGGATTGTTACACAATTTGTAGCTACTAAAAGTGATCTGTAATTAAATTGCCCATGCAGATAACAAATTACTATTGGTCAGAGGCTCAAAACAATAGAGCTGAAGCCAGTGAACACCTGCCTTCAGGATGGGTGCATAGTTTTAAACTAACAGGTCTTTTTAGTCCTAGACTTAAAGGCAGAAAAATAAAATGTAGAGGCTGCCTTTCCTAACTTCATGTTGGGTGATATGCTTTATACCGCCTTGTCATATTGGTGTGTGTCAGATGAGAGATATAAACCGTTGAGTGCTAGAGGCATTTAGAGCTGGGGGTGTGCAGTAGGTTTTCTGGAGGAGGTGATATTGAACTAGGCTTGACGGATAACAGCTGGTGCATCTTTTGGTCTTGGGAAGCAGTTTAAGATATGAAGAGAAAACATGCTTCACTGTCCCTTTCTTTATCTCAATTCATTTTACCTCTGAAAATGTTACCCATCAAAACGAGTGTGTGTGTGTGTGTTTTTTTGCTTTGAGTCTTTTTTGTGCCCACTTTCTCATGTGTTACTTGAGACATGTATGTACACATGGATAGTTTTATTATTTATGCTCTTTTCCCAGTTACTTTTCTCTAAAGAAACACTTTCCTAGTATTTCCCCCAAACTTCTAGTATTTGGCTTGTCTGGTCACACTGGGGTAACCACGATTTGGGCATATTTTTCGTACTCATAGAGCAGAGTTTGTTTCTAATCACCCTGTCCATGTAGTTCACAATAAATACCAGCACAGTGTTTTACAGTCTACAGAATGGTTTCATATCATTCTATTTTTGATCCTTATAACTATCCAGTGAAGTAATTCAGATGGAGGTATTTTAGCCCTGTTTTACAGATGAGGGAGGCTTGGTAGTGCAGTGACTTTCACACACACAAATCTTGTAGGTGGCAGAGCTGGGACTTGAACCCAAGCTGATGGCAGGTCATTAGCGGTGTAGTAGACTCCAGGGAAAGCTGCAGATCCACGTACCTCAGTTTTTATCTTGGGCCTTTTATTTTCACACGAGATTCTCTTCAGAGAGAACAGGTCTACTACCCCTGGAACCATGACCTGCAGTACATTTATGTTAGACATTGTTTGTGTGTGTATTAACAGAAACAAAAGAGTCTTAGAACAGTACTTACCTTTTACTATGTGCATTGCCATCTAATGTTTTTCATTCTATTTCATTTTTTAAAATACTGGTTGGAACTGAATTGATTTCATAAGGATCACACTGCCCTGGAGATATTCTTCTCACCTTCCCACCATCAAAATTCCTAATTCTTTGTAGTTGGTTATGGGTAGGTATGACAAGGAAAGTGATCAGTTTATTTGACTATAGTTGTTTATACCTTTGATTAGGAAGGTAGGAATTTCAGATTTGTCGAAAGGCCCAACCCTATTTACTTTGAAATAGAGGAGTTGGAAAGGAGAATACTTTCAAGCAGCAGAGTAGAAAGAGGCATATTTTTAAGACTTGGAAGAAGTAAAAGGAACAAAAACAGGACCAGTACTTAGCTTCTGAGTATAAAAACCCCTCCTTGTGTAGAGCTCGTGGTATCTCTTCTCTCCGAGGCCACGTCATATCAACCTTTTGGTCATACTAGGCAGTCATCAGATTTGGCATACTATCTGACAGTCTTGCCTTTTCCACCCCATTGCCTTAGATTGGTTGTAATGAGTCCAGTGTCCATGGATGGATATTTGTCTCACACCCTTTTGGCAGCACAGTTCTTTGACTTCTCATATATTGTTTAGTCTCATCCCATGGCTATCACCCGGGCCTCATTATGCCCTGAATTCTCAACCTTCAAAGCTTAAAACTCCAGGATTCTATTCTCTAAAACAGACTCCTTAAACATTTTTGTACTGAAGATCTCTTTGGCAGTCTGATGAAGCCCGTGGACTTTTTTTCAGAATAATGTTTTTAAATGCATAAAATAAAGTACTTAGGATTAGAAAGGAAAGCAATTATATTGGAATAAAATTATGAAAGTATTAAATTTGTGATATAGTAATGTGTGCCTTTTAATTCATGCATTAAATAACAGTGAGTCTAATAACTATCATCATTTTGAAATAGTGATAAAATTGATGGTATTTCAAGATAATTGCAATAGTAGTGTGATATGAAGATAATTGGCAATTTCTGTTGGTGATAGTCACAGGAACTGCTAATGCAATTGCGATTTGTTACTTACATTCATCATTGAAAGAAATGCTAATTTTTAATTAGAGCTTAATAGTGAAGACAAATATGTAATTTTTATCCTAAAATTCACGTCCTCTAAATTTTACCCATATATCTGTGGACTCATGTAAGAGCCCTTACTCCAAGCATAGCCCTCTCATGCTTGCTTTTTCTGTACACTGTGTCCTTACCAGTATTTTCTCTTTTCCTTTGTCTTTCAGTCCCCGCTGGCTTTAATTATGTGTTTTCTTAGTCAGCTTAGATCTTAATAGTCTGTCACTTCAACCATTTTGTTCCTAATTCTGTCAACTCTTTGTCCCTATATCCTTCACTTGTATCCGTGTGGCAAAACCTCCAGGGATCATTCTGTATCCACCACCCACCCATTCTTGTTTGCCCATCCCTCCTGTGTTGGCCTTACTTCAGGCCCTTGGAATTCCTGACCTGAATTATTACTGTGGCCTCTTGCCCCTACTAACTCTTTTTTTTTTTTTTTTTTTTAAGATTTTATTGGGGAATTGGAGGGAACAGTGTTGGGGAATCGGGGAAGGGGAACAGACAAGTTGCTGTC